AAACACAAACCGAAGAATGGACACCATATTCTGGCGATATATCATCAGTCATTGAAAAAGCTTACAAAGAACGTTTAGAACAAGTCTCTATTAACGAAGATTATTGTATTAGTCTGAAAGACAGTGTGCAATTCTGTAAAAATGATACATTTCGTCAACGACCCGTTCGAAGACGAAAGGAACATCTTCCTTTGATGACCTCCATTGATGCGAAGATCGAAGGTCAATCAATGCTCCATAAAAGACTTTCATCCCCATTGGGTGTACCCGAACGTTGTAGTGTAACTGGAGATACAACTCATTATGGTTCAACATTTATTCAAGAGTGGTTATTAGATTTCACCAAGGGAAAAATGAAGTTTACATTTGATAATATTTTTCCATTTCTTTTAGATGGCTTGATCAAGGAGGGAGAAACCAAGAGTCAAAGTAACTCAATTGAAACGGATTTACGCAAAGTCGAACAACTCACTCGTGGACAGAAGTCTAGTGAGAGAATAGCACAGTTGGAAGATTGTTGTGCCATATTTTATACAAAAGACAGTTATATATATCGTGTTGTAAATAAAGCATTACGTAATAATGATCGAACAAAATTATTTACGCTTGGACCTTTTTGTCATCTTCTTCTTTGTTATATTGGTCGACGTTTTGAAGATAATTCTACAATTGGTGACCGTCTTCGACAGACTTTTAGTGTAAATAAAATGCAGACAATAACTATTTATCGTGGTGATTTTGTTTGTCGTGAAACTTTAGAAGAATACCGACAAGCAGCTGGAGATAATACGAAACATTTTAAATGGCTTCCATTTGTTTCCACGTCACGTAAAGAAAAAAAAGCTTTAGAATTTCGTGGAAATATTTTATATAAAATTGAAATGCCTTCTTATTCATCAAAAAAAGATCAATTTAGAGATATCAAAAATATTAGTGAATTTGAAGACGAAGAAGAAATTTTATTATTACCTGGAGTGCAATTTCATGTGAATAAGTTGGAATTTGATAATAAAATGGGGCGACATATTGCCGAGATCAAAATTCATTTATCCTACATCTCCAACTTATAATCAATTACTGTACGATCAGTTTTGTCGGAACAGAATAAAATTCATTTTTTTTTGTAAATTACTTGAGAATTTATTAACATTTAAATGTAGTAATAAACCAATCTTTGAAAATTGAACTATTGAATTCATGATTAAATAATTCAACTATAACTATGAAGAAAAAGGGAAAAATAAATGTGGATGTTGTGTGTGCATGAACGCGTGGATACATATGTGAAATCAATATAATAACCTTAGTTTCACACGTCCTCGAAACTATTCCACATTCCCTGAAAGTGCTAAATTGTTCCATGCATTGTGCCATCAAACCAAGTAGTGAAAGCAAGTAATGGTATTGTGATACGTACAAAGTCACCTGGCACGAAATCAATACTTCCTCAGAAACGATCATATATTGGATGATCAAGACATGTACGAGAAAGTGACAGGTTCTTTCCAGTAGCATATTGTTCTAGTGTAATGCAAAAGAGAAGTGGCGGTTGTTCTCAACTCATAAATCATTGATTAGTTCCACTATAGGATGAGCCACTTTCGGTCCTCGTTCATATCATTTCAGTTCAAGGATCGTTGAAAATCTTTCAGTATTGGAAACAATGAGATAATCCATGAGTAGGTTGTTGCCATCATGTATAAGAACATAGATTGTGTGAAAAGTAACTGCTACTGAAAAATGAATTAAAATACAATTGAGTTATAAGATAAAATTGTACTTGATGCCGTTGTTGTGTCGTTTAATATAGGCACATGCTGGATCTCATACTCATCGACACATAACAAAGAAACACAATGAATATTAGCATCATTTATTTATACAAATGGCATCAGGCTCATTCTACAATGAACTTAACGATAAAATTATTTTGATTTGTATTTTGTCAATTAAACTTCCATCAGATCTACTCACGACAAAGAGTCTGATCAAATGGTAAGTGAATAGCTTTCCTTTCAAAGTTTTTATTGCATATCTATTCATATAAGATTAAAAAAGAAAAAGATTTATCTTTATATGATAGATTTTACTCAAATATCAATAAGAGATTCTTTTTGAAATAACACCTTTTGTATTACTTTATTTTCATAAGCATAATTTGTTCGTTTTACTTCATAGTTTGTAGAATATTAAGTTGCTGCTATACTATTGTCATTGGTATCTGGGCATTCGATGTTTACAACCTTCTTAATAAATGATGGATATGATCTGTCATTGATTACATCTAGATTTTCAACATACGTTGCAATTAATGTTGCTGATCTGTTTAAATCCCATGCAATAGTTCGAAAGCCATGTTCCATTTGATCACCATCTCGAAAATAAGACCATGAATGATTTAAATCTTCATCTACTTTGACTGATAGCATTGTTTCTAAACTAATAATACGATATTTTGTTTCATATAAACTTTCTCCTTCGTCATATACACCAGCATATGTGTACTTGATTAAAACATATCTATAATTAGGACTTTGAATAAAACTTAATGATGCTTGACGTGATTTATCATAAATCTCAATAAACAGGTTATTATCAAATGGCAAATTTTTATCTGTATAACAGTATAATCGTTGTAATTCAATAAATTTATCAAACCAATATTTATATTCATTTTGTTCAGATTCAGTTTTAGTATCATCAAATACAATTTTCTCAAGTTCAGGCTTCACTCGATGTAATAAAATTGAATGATAACAAAAATGACATGAACTCCCTAACATTTGAAATTGAGGAGGAAAATATTTATTACATTGACATGTTCCTGATGATTTATCTTGCTCTGAAAGTCCAGTACATATAATTACTTTTGATTGAGATTCTTGGACTTGAAGTACTGTCTCATTACCATTGTAAACAGGTTGACAAATAATACCATTCTCTTTCATAGTGTTTAATAAGCGACTACAGTAAGAAAGTGAAGCTATTTCATCTTGTTTATGCAATTGTGTACTTTGGACTGATGGAACGTAAGCGTCTTCGACTATTTGAGGATCATAAGAACAAATTTTAGTTTGATCTTTGAGTTCTGTAACAGTACTTTTAGCTTTAACTTCAGTTTGATTCTTAGAACTTGCTGTAGAATGAACGATTGGGTTATCCTTTTTAGTAGTATCTTGTAGACCTATACTGCTGCAGATGTATGATTAATTCAGTTATTATTCTTATTATTACCTGGCGAAGACATAATTTCAATTGATAAACTTGTAATTTTATGTTGAAAAATATTTTATTTGCATAAAGAATGCTATGGTGGTGTGCACATTAACTTGCGACACATTTTTTTTACTTTCTTCATGCACGTTATACACTGATAAAAGGCAAAAAACAATCTTTTTCCTTTTCTAACAACAACGGGGAGAAAAATATATAGTTACACATGTGATTCATGCAGAACGCTATTCGATCATGTACACTAAAAGTAGAATTGCTGATGAGTAATCGCAGAGAGCTGACACGATTTCGTTCAAGTTGGTTAGCTAATCAGGCGAATTTACTTCAACAGTTTTTCAATGAAAAATATTCCGTATATAAAAAAGACAAGTGCGAGTATTTTTAATGGAACGAAATAGATGTCATCACATCATAGTTCTATCAAGTTTTCAAAAATACTCCATATCTTACTCAATTGACATACAGTTTTCTATAGTTCAATAAACACCAGTTGATAAATACATCAAGTGCTTAAAGGGTGGATGGGTTTGGCTAGTTATTCTGTTAACACACTATTATTGTTTAAAAGTTGTAACATTAGATCTCAAGGTTTTTTTAAACTATTTTCGTTTTGCACTTAAACTGAATGTATGCCCTTTGTAGAAAGGAAGTGCTTTATCATTGTGTGTGTATGTAACGAAAAAGCATCGCACCGTAATTACAAAGCAATGTTACATAGAACAGAACAGAACGAGACAAAAGATAATAGAGCAGGAATCCAATTTCACTTTCTGACTTATCTGTTAAGTAGTGGAGTTTCCTTTGTAATTACAATATGATGTTTTTTCGTTACATACACTCACAATGATAAAGAACTTCCTTTCTACAAAGGGCATGCATTCAATATAAATACGAAGTGAAAATACTTGAAAACAAAACATTGAGATCTAACACTACAACTCTTAGGCAATAATGGTGAAAATTCATACACTTACTCTGCTCATTCTTGTTGGTATCTTATTATGTTTTTGTACAGGTTAGTTTTGTGATATCGTGATTATTATTCGACAGAAGTTATAATTTTATAGATTCCACCAATGGAGTCGTGAAAAAAGTTGTTCAGTATGCATTTCGATATCAGGCACTTCAAGCAGCTAAAAGGCACTTTAAAATCCCACGTGGTCAACAACCAATAAATACAGTCAAAGTTCCGGAGAGAAATTCTAGAGAAATGCTACGACAATATAATTACATAAATAATCAAGGAAAACCAATTTCTATTCGGCAAGATAATCCTCGAAAGTATGGACATCCACAAGGACATGGAGATCAAGGACCTCATTTCAATGCTGGTCCTACTGGAAGTAAACTTGAAAAACATTTTAATTTTGATAAATTCAACAAAAATAAAGGATAAATATTCTTATTCACTTCAATTGAAAAATTAAAATTCTAACAAAAAAAGTTTATGTAATAATTAAACTGATGTCTGATTATTTCTTGGCGACATCTAGTAAAATTTTATTCTTTATTAAATATTTGAGTTTTCAGAAAAATAAAATTCATTAAGTAGAGTACTTCATTTTTCATAGAATGAACATATATTCTATAAAATACAGGTTTTTCAATAGTACGAAAGTACGAATATAACTCATATAACAAACGTTTGATTTATCAATGTAAATGTGTCATAAAAACACGTGTCACATTGTACAAAGGTATATACAACGCTTGAGTAATTTAGATAAAAGTGCATGTAAACACACATTATATCGTCATTATTTTACATGGCTACATATCCGCGTACCTATCGAATTCATCACAAATTTCTATCGTCTAATCATAAATTTGAAATTGATAATGGTACCGATGAAATACTATATACTGTTCGTGCAACTCTATTTCCAACATTCGATAAATTTTCTATTTGTGAAACATCAGGTGGCAAAGAATTAATCAAAATTCAAAGAGAAGATCAGCATCTTCATTTAACATATAATATTTCAGCAGTCATGGAAAACGACAGTGCTACTCAACATTTAGCAACAGTCAGACGAATTCATGGTCGACATGAACATCATTTGCATGGTAAATTTGAAATAGATTCAATTTATGGAGTATATAAATTAGAACGTAATGCAAATCGATCTGAACATGAATTTAAAATAATAACTGGCGAGAAGACTGTGGTTGATGTAACTCATTTTACGAAATTAGAAAATATATATAATGTCGAAATAAATAGTGATGAAGGAGGTGATCTTTTTTTACTATCACTTGCGATTACACTTTCTTGTATACAACGCTGGCGACATCTGTGAGAATCATGTCAATAATATTTATCAAACACAAAAAAGACGATTTATTTTATTCTTTTTATGTAATACTTAACAATTATTAAAAAAAACAATAAATAAATATGTCAATCTAATCAACCTTATCACTTTCAGTTATTTTATAATAAAAGGATGACGTTGAAAACTGTAGTGAATGAATTGTGTTAAATTTACAAATTAGAATCAGAAGATATTACATAGATCTTTTCCAAAACATGTTGTATTGTGCATATTAAAATATTCGAACAAGTAACCATCTCTCTTCATATAAAATATTCGTATTTTATTTGGCAATAAATTATTCAATATGAACCCTCGAAAGTAATATATTGCTAACAAGTACCAATAAATATCAAGTATAGAATTTATAGTCAAGTAATAATATTCAAATATGCCGTCTTCGAATTAATTTACTTCACTTGATCTCTACTTAGAGCATTAATAGAAATCATTTACATAGATGAATAATAAATTACTTATTTTATTTGAGGTACGCACACTTGATTTTGAAGAGAAAAAAATATTTCGTATTGGTATATATACTGAAAGACGAAAACATCAATCATTACTTTATGATGGCTGCTGTTCGAACATTTTTCTTTGCTACTATTTTACTTTGTCTGTTGCTCGTCAATACAGGTAGAAAAATCAAAAGTTTATTTAATTTGTTCTGTTTAATATCTCATTATAGCTGTTGAGGGCTCATGCAGCGCTTGGTCACCAGAATTCAAGCGTACCGTAAATGGTTCATGTCGTACAATGTGTGTAGGTTCTGAGCGAAACGCTGGCCAACAATCATGTATGTCTGGATGGTGTTGTCTTCCGCGTAATTGATAAAACATTATCGATTTTTGACTAACTTTGAGAAAAATATTAATATTCATCTATTTCAATATTTAACCTATTTCCTTTTGAAATAAATGCCAAGAATAATATACTATTGATGTCAATGAAAACTAGACAATGATTATGACAGCCTCACATAGATTCATTATTGTTTTAATCGGAAACTGCTTGGCAAATGTTGACACAGAGAAAAAAAGGCAAATCAAAGATAGCATAATAAACATAGAAGTTGAAAATGTGTAGATATTATATTGGTGATTCAAGCAGATATTTCAGAAAAGTGATATCTTATATACTATACTAGTCGTTTATTAATACATGCCATACGCATTAGGCTTCGATCATATAACAAAACACAGTCTTACTGATAGTTTCACAGGAATACTATTCGTGATGGTATTGAAAATTATTTTCAGATCACAATTCAAAACTCAATATGATTTTCAACGAGAAACTAGTTTTATTAGAACGTGTATTTACAAGATTATTACGCCTCTCTTTTGTCTTGTGTATTTCTAGTGAATCTTTTGTACTATTTTTTAATCTAGAGCCGCGATACTTATATTTACGAGAAAAAAATTCATTCTCAACATATAAGTCTGTTACTGAGTAATAAAAGCTGAGACCAGCAGATTATATGTATCTTTTCATTAAAAGATAGACGAATCTGTTTTTTTTGATAGTTTTACCTTCATCACTATAAACAGATTCTATCATTGCCTGGTAGCAATATAAATTTAACTTAATTCTGGTTGCTCCACTCATTTATACCTTCAAGATGTAATAGATCTTACATGAAACTATCGTCGTATCGTTATCATTTTTTATTTTAAAAGAATAAAACACACGTTTTCATATGTAAGTAACTATTTTTCTAAAGTGATAAATCAACTTGAATTTTAGACAGTTATTATGCCGCGTGTATCTATTTGGTTCATTGTGGAAACCATTCATTTTATTTTGGGTTCTATTGGGTGTATTTTTAAAGCCGATACTGTAATTCAAAGTTATTCATTAAAGCCAAATCCAGTTTCGAGTCAAGCAATTGAGATGGTACATGTTTTAGCTGCCTTCTATGTACAGAATACTGTTCTATGTGGACTTTCTATTCAAAATAAAGAAATCTCGCATTATACTTCGCTCATTCTATTAATATTTTATTATTTATGTTTACTCTATGACATCTATGATATTATATTTCTTATGCGAAATAATGGTGAAAATGATTATCCTGTGAGTTACCCAGGATATCGATGGTTGGATACATTTATTCACATTGTATTTGGTGGTATTCATACAATTTTTTTTGTAAACGGAAGATTTTGATTTCTTTATACTTAACTCAGTATACATATATTCACAATATAATAGTGCATTATGATGTGCAACTTTTGAATAAGATATTATTAATGAACTTAAAAGGTGATTTAATCTTTTTAAAATACTCATTGTGTACATTCTAAAATAACCTATAAATAATGTAATAATATTTAAATTTCGAATATCTTCAATAAAGATTGTTTGATTACAAGAAAAGAAAATTTAATGATTTATAACTATAATTAAAATGCAGGTGTGGCTAAGAGAAAGGACACCCACCCACATCCTTAAGAAAACTTAGTAGTTACACAATTGCGTCTTTTCTTTGATCTGTGATACTCAAATATTAAGCTGTAAGTATAATAATATCTTTTATAATAAAGATAATATTCCTTATCTTTTTTTGTTACTGCAGCAGTGGTAGACAAATATATATGTTAAATTTTTTCTTATTTTGTCTCTTCTAAAGAACATACTATGCATCGCAATCAACTCTACAACGAAGATAATACAAAAAATATTCGAACACAAAAATGGTATCAACAACGTCGGATTAAAATTATCTTCATATGTTTTATCATTCTAGCAATATTAATAGTTACCCTCTCCTTGCTGTTAAAGTTCGTTATTCTTGCACCGAAGAACTCAGAAATTTCTACCAATACCACCGACATCTCAACATTCCTGCCCGTAACAACAACAACATCATCACTAACAACACTGACAACAAAAACGTCAACGTTAACGTCAACATTAACAATAACTACTAGCACTACTCCGCAGTCAGGTAATCGTTGCGCTCCTTTACCTCTAGGAATGATCCTTTTAAATGATTTATAAAAAGAGAATCTTAGCTTTATATCGTATATTTATCAAAAAATACAAGGTCGATTACAACACAGTCTAAAGAACAGTTTCTTCCCATAAGTTTAAAACTATTTTTTAATATTTAGAATGGTCGGAAAGTAATGATATGAATCATGCACGCCGATCCCATACAGCATCCATATTAAATAATGGAAAAGTTTTAGTTACTGGAGGATTTAATAGAGGTGTTATGAATTTTGCAGAATTGTATGATGTAGAATCACAAAATTGGACAACTATTAATAGCATGAATCAATCACGAGGTGAGCAAACTGCATCCTTGTTGAACAATGGAAAGATTTTAATTGCTGGTGGACTTTCCAATGATTTTTTAAGTAGTGCAGAGTTATATGATCCAGAAACAGAAACATGGACAATTACGGATAGTATGAATAGTAGACGAGCTGAACATGCAGCAACTACATTAGCAAATGAAAAAGTATTAATTACTGGCGGATTTGGAGATGGAAATACGCTCAATACTTCTGAGTTGTATGATTCATTAACAGAGACCTGGACAATTACAGGAAGTATGAATTACGAACGAAGCAAACATACATCATCTCTGTTAATCGATGGAAAAGTATTAGTTACTGGTGGACATGTTAGAGGTACGTATTTAGATAGTGTTGAATTGTATGATCCAGAAACAGAAACTTGGACAATTCTTGATAAGATGA